TCCACGGCAAATGTATTTTATGTCTTTTATTTTACCGGTATAGTTGTTATTTTGGTTTCGTTATTTCTTTTTTTTACACCTGCTCAGTTTCCTGTAATTAATGAACCGACCTAAAATGCGTCCCTGGGTGGGGATGGGATACGGTAGTTGGGCCTCGGGGAGAGCGAGGGCCCTTCTCGAGAAAACGCTGCCCCGGCACACCCGACGATCGATGGCGATATTGCAGGGTGGCATCTAGGGGAAAACATTCACTGCTGCTCGCCCCGAAAAATATTGCTCCTTTTTTGGGGCCAGGGGTCGGCTAAAAAGTGGAGGGTGTTCGGAATTATGGACAACCCGTATTTGATGCTCCAGAACGTGCTTTCGCAAATTTTTTTTCTGTATTTTTTGGGTCTTTCCCATTATCGGAGGGGGGACCGATATTCTCGATAAATCGAGAAATGCGGAGTAATAATGGCAATGAATTTGAATAGTGTTTTTGTCATTTAACGAGATTTCAGGCGGAAAAACTATTTAGACGCTTCACCAATAAAAAAATTCGAAATTTTATTCGAAAATCGGCCATTTAGAGTCGAAAATCGGTATTTTTTTGTAATCCTTTACAAGCATTTCTAAAGTTATACTTCTAGAAATAGTAAAATAAAGTTTAAAAAGGTTTTGTGAAATTGGATCTTCTGGACAATTGCCCCCCCCCCCCGTTAATGGATAAGCACCGCCGGAATTTCGTTTTTTTTTCAAAAAAGTCGACGTTTTTTTCAGTTGCCCTTCTCTTCGTAACCCTTTGAGTCGCGTTGAGTATGCATGTGTTAGCAGGGCTGGAAGGGGAAGGACAAATTCCTAGCCGACCCTAGTTTTCAACATTCAAGGTCGAACACCCCTCGGAAAATGGGCCTTTCTTTGCATGGGGAGGGGACCGATGGGAAATGGCATTTCGGGGCAAAAAATTTGCCACCAACAACAACAACTAAATGGTGGATAAAGGGGATGCAAAAAGGAGTTTGGCAGTCTTCCAATTATATTTAGTGAAAGGTTAATTGTAGGTGAAGTCGAAAAATATGCCGCTAAAAGTATGATAGTCTAGCCCCTTTTTGATGAATTTATCGAGCATTTTGATATTCCATTTTTTTTGAGTTATAACTATTTTAATAAAAACTATATTTATACGACTATCATTATTAAAAACTATTGTAACTTTTGAAATGGAGAACCTAGGCCGAGTTGAGAAAAAGCTTCGGAATCAGCGAAACCATCTTGTATCTCGCTCCCCGCCATATTACAGCGGCGTAAAGTATACCAAAATGCTCGCCAGGCCGAGGCGAACACCTTGGTATACTTTTCAGCCCGCTAGTACAACAGGGCATCGAGATACAACAGGTACCGCCACAGCAGTCTGCACTTACCGGCGGCGGCGGCCGTGGCGGTGCACAGAGGCTACAATATTTGTAGCTGTGCGGCCGAGTAGATAGCGTGGGGAGCATTCATAAGACTGCCCCACCGCACATCCTCGTCTTCTCCTCCCCGATGGCAGAAAATAGGCTTACACACAGGAGCCCGACAGCCCCAGGATAAAGCTTTTCCGACAAGGCGCCGTCGCGAGGCTGAAAAATACAGATTTAGGACCAGACCAGATTTTCTGAGGCTCAAAAAATGGAGGGTGACAATTGGCTGGGGTGAAAAGGCGAAAAAACGCGGTACTAAACTGTTAGCGGGGGGGGAGACTGATTTTTCCCAGTGATACCGACTGCCCTATTACGAAATAAAAACTATTTTACCATATCACCATTTTCAACAGTTTTTAGATCTAAAAAGCGTAAAAAATTGTAAGAATTTCCTAAAAGCTTTGCCGTTTTGGTAAAAATGCATGAAAACGGGCAAAAAAACGTTAACATTTTTGAATGTTCAAAATTTTGTTGAACTTTCTAGCAAACAACAATTTCTATTGAAAATACTAAAAAATACAATATATACCAGGGTTGAAAAGCCGCTTCGCGACTTCTCAACCCTGGCCCCGTCCAACCCAATGAAAATTTTTCACTTTGCATAATTCGGCCCGACTCACGCCGAAAAAAGTGAAAAATGCTCTCTCCGCTCCTTTATATAGGCTACCCCCACTTCCGGTGTATGCTAATTGATTCCTAACAAAGAGAGTCTCGGATTTTTGAACAAAAACTTAAATTTAATGTCGAAAATAAACGAATTTCATAAATCTGAGATGCGTGCAGTCATCGCCAGACCATTACGCTCCTAATGACGTATCAAACAGGCCCCTAACTACTCGCCTTCTTGAGATACGCCTGGAACAACCTGACGGAAGTTGCATGCAAAAGTGGCACACACACACACACACACACAGACACTATTTTTTTATATATAGTAGGATTTTGTTTAATAGGTGGGCGGAAAATAAAAAAAAGTCTCCCCGCTAACAGTACAGTACCCAAAAAGGTCTGAAAATGAGCAAAAAAAATCGAAATTTTCGAGTTACCAAATTTTAAAAACATTTTTATAACTTGCTAGCAGTCAAAAACAACTAGAAGCACTACAAAATACATGATAGATTACGAACAAGTGTGAGGACAAACAAAATTTCGTTTAGCCCCTGCTAACCCGCCCCGCCCCCGCTAACAGTCCAGTACCAAAAAAGGGGCTTGCTATTCCTTGGCCGGAAGTGTCGGTCAAGCGATAGCAAAAATAAAATATGTTTGCAGGAGCTTCTACCAGTCTATCATCTACGTGGTTGATATTTGGGCCAAGTCTCGCACACACTCCTCACTCACCTCCGGCGTGGAATTATTCATGCTTCGGGTCGTGCTCCCCCAAGAAAAAATATCCTTCCCCCTGGGGAAACGGGCGTTTGAGAGATTTGCGTAGTAGGTGTTGTGAAAAATGTATAAAAAAAGCCTTTTTAATGAAACGGAAAAAAACTCATAAAACTTCAATTTTCATAAAACTGCGGTACTGGACTCTTAGCGGGGGGCTTATTTTTATTTTTTCCGCCTATAGATTAATATGATATAATGTTTTTATAAATAGATTTTTTAGTATTAAGGAAGCGATAGAAAATCATAAAAAAAACTTTAAAAGATGAGGTTTGTTTAGCCATTTTCTATATATTTTCACCAAAAACTCAATAATTTTCAAAATTTCGGCAATGATTAGCGTTTTTTTATATCTAAAAACGGTGTGACGCTAAACGCCTTATTACCTCCAGCCAAACCCCCCTTCCGCTAAAAGCCCAATTCCAGACGGCGCTTGTTCAATAACGGGGGGGAGGCTTTTTCCTTTTTCCTAGCCAGCAATTCGCTTCGAATAAGGAAATCCTACGAATTCTAATAGGTTTTGGACTAAAAAATTTATTTAAAACTTCTTAAATTCAGCCCCCCCCCTGCTAACGCACCAGAACCCGTCGGGCAGAGAGAAACCTTTGAAATTGTCGCCAAATTATGCAAATCACGGCTCCTTGCCACGATCTCAATCTTCCCCTTTCGAAAGGCTCCAAATTAGGCAAGAAGCCATTGGATGGGATGGACATCCGATCCATCACCCTCGTGTCAATGCCCGAAATTCAATCAGACCCCTGGCAGCCCTCTTTTCTGGCCGACGTGCCCCCGTTTTTTGAATGGGAGAACCCAGGAATAATGCAGTGGGCCAGTGCATCCCGCCAGAAATACCCACCGGAAACTCGAAAGGGACCCGAAAAAGGGCAGGGCAAGTCTGGGAAAAGGTATTGGTTACTGCTAGTAGGGCTTTAAAAGATTGCGAGAAAAATCAGACAAGGTGCGCATGCGATAAATAAATAGAGCCCCAAAAAAAGAGAAAATAAGATTCTTTCGCGTTATCGGGGGGTCAAAGTTTTTTGATGATTCAGAAATGCCCAGTAATGTCATAGTCATTTAGCAAATTTAACCATATTTCAAGCGGAAAACTCATTAAAAACTTATACATTTTTTAAAACTCGGAAATGGTTGGTCGGAAATCGTTCATTTTTGTTCAAAAATCAATATTTTTTGTATTTTTAATAACGCTTTCAAAAGCTTTTACGTTTATGTTATCATGAAAATAGGTTTAGAAACGCTTGCCCTATTTAGAATTAGAAAAGTTCTATTAGTTTCTATATTAAAAAAATTGCTTCTTGAACGAAAAACTTGACCCCCCCCAATAACACGAAAGCACCGAAAATAACGATAGCTGTTCATCTTCCCTTCATCCCAAAAAACAGCCATCCAGACAAATAGCAATAAGGCGGCCCTGAGTCGAGACGATTATCGGATGCAAACGGATTTCCGGCAGGCAGCCCCCCTTCTACCTCCAATACCCCGTCATACAGCTTACCGAGCCGACGATACAAATCCTATGCTCGCGCTCTTTGAAACGCTTGATGTCGTCAGCATCGAAAATTTGTGATTACCGAGATTTAAAAAAAAGAAGAGATCCCGGAATGTACACGAGAGCCCCCGGAAAAGTGATGTGATACGGCCGAAATTGCGGTCCCTCCCCGCGCACATATGGCTTCAGCGCCACTTACACGAAAAAGTGGGACCCGCTGGGGTGGGTGGCCCTTCCGGGCATCCGGGTGTCCAACCCGAAATGAACCAAACTTTGAGAATTTTTCCTGTAAGCCCAGAAATGTAGATTAATGTTACGTGAAATGGTTTTTAAATTAAAACTTTTAATAATGTTTTTAGTAAAATCAAACCAGAACTCAGATGGGAAACTAGCTAAAGAATCTAGTTTTGAAATTTTTCGGAAAAAATTCTATGTTTTTGTATCCTTGGTAAAATTTGTAAAGTACGTTTATGAAAAGTCAGTCCCGCGAGTCAGATAATCAAAGTTTGGAGTAAAAAACAAATGAAAAACATCATTTTTGCTTTCAAAACGGGCTGGAAGATTTCAGGAGTATGACCGGAAACAAATTTAGATCCCGCATAACGGAATTCCCAACAATTGCGCGAAAAAATCCGTGTTTGTCCCATTTTCTACTTCTTTTATTATCTGTGAACATGTCCAAGTAAGCAAAAAACACTTCCTACCCCCCCATTTTATAGGGAAGACTCAGAACTCGAAATCGGTACCAAGAAAACGATTGAAGCGCGCGGGATCCGGATTGGGCGTTATATTGGTGGGGAATTGTTGATGAACAACAATCCCGAGCAGGTAGCGGCTCATATTCAAAGGTCTACTGCGCCGTCAACCCGGAAAAGATGGAGATTGCGCTGAAAGTGATTGAGATGAAGGCAAAGAGCGATTATATCCAAAGATTCTTGCCGCGTGAAGTTGAGATTGTTCGCCGCCTCAACCACCCAAACATTGCAAGAATTTACAAGGTGATTTCGTTTATATTTGTGTGCTTATTCTAGGGTTTTATAGGTGTACTTCCTCGAGGGCCCGAAAGTTACGGTCTTTGAAGGCGAATTCTGCGCAAATGGCGATCTCCTCGACCGTATTAAGCGAGTAGCGACTTCCTTTTATAGTTAACTAAAAACTAATTTAACGTTAAAGAACAAGCAGCTCACCGAAGTCGAGGCAAGGCCCTTTTTCCGTCAGCTGATTGAGGCGATGAAGGTTTACTTTACAGATTTGCCAGATCTTGACTAAACTTCAGAACCCCCACCCGGCCCTCAAGGACTGTATCTGGGCTTCCCATTGTCCTACGGGGCTGTAAGGTATACCAAAATGCTCGCCAGACGAAGACGAACATTTGGTACACTTTACACATCTGTAGGCCAAAGGGAAGTGGAGATACAACGTCAGGGTGCGGGGTATCTGAAGGTTAGCTACCGGAAGAAGAGGATAGGCTTGCCCAGTTCCCTCGTATTTCTGTTTTTTTCCAGTACCTCGAGGCGCACGACATCGTCCACCGCGACCTCAAATGCGAAAACGTCTTCCTCGACCGGTTCGACAACGTGAAGCTCGGCGATTTTGGCTTTTCACGCGTGTTGAAAAAGGGAGAGGTGAGACTTTCGACTTTTCGAGGCTTTACGTACTCACTGTTACATTCAATCTTTCAGAAATCTGACACCTTTTGCGGGTCAAAGATCTACGTAGCGCCCGAGATTCTGCGAGGACAAAAGTATGGCGGGAATGCGGTTAGTTTGGGAGAAAGCCCGCTTATTGCTCGCATTCAGGTAGACATCTGGAGCATGGGCATCGTGCTATACATTATGGTGACCGGTGTGATGCCGTACGATGAGGGGAACCTGCAGAAGATGGTCGAGCGCCAGATGACGCACATGGTTCGGTAGGCTTGGTACAGGTTTCGCCAGGCTTCTTCGTAGTTATCCGAGCGCTCCGCGTCTCTCATCGGCCGTCCGTCAGCTGATCCTCGGCATTCTGCATCCCGATCCGGGCAATAGACTCGATTACAACGAGATGATCACGAGTGAATGGCTGAAAGAGACGCCGTATAAGATGTCGAATGTGGGTTCCAGGATTACAAGCGGCAAAACAGGAAACTGCTCAATTGTGTTCATTTTTATTGATCCACGCGACGAGAAGGTCAAGTGTTCTGTTTCTTTCAGGAGAAGACCGGAAATAATGGCACGCCCGCCGTCCAATTCGTCCAACCAAAATTGTTGGTTATTTTCTAAAAATTTGATATTCCCGTCCCGTATTAGCCGCATGCTCAAAGACGCCCCGTTGTGCTGATACCGCTGCTCCGGACGTGTGGTGCTGCTCATTCACTGGCGGCTACACCGAACAACACTGACAACTCTCATTCTGGCATTGCCTTTTTTTATCTGAATAAACATGCTCAACTTCTTGCTCACCATTCTTATAGTTTTTTAGGTAGTTTTTAGCTGCCAAAAGATTCTAAAAAATATAGAAATCTTCGAACATTTTTGACTTTTTGGTCAAAAGTGCATGAAAAAGGCCAGAAAGGGTAGAAACTGTTCGGATTTTATAGCTTTCTAACAATTACAACTACTAAAAACACTACAAAAAACATTATTCACCATCAACAGGTAGGTAAAAATTAGCTTCCCCGTCACATAGGAAGAACCCGTTTTTCTCTTTTTCTTCCTTTTAAAAAATTACCAGTTGGTAATTAGAATTGGAACAAACAATTGCATAATTTGGCATTTAGAGATCCCGATGACTATCGAACATCGTTGACCGCCGGCATTTGTCGGCTTTACTCGCACCGTCCGGATGGCTGAGCCGGCTGCACCAGCCGATCCGGAGTGAGTTTCTTTTTTCTCCAGCAAACTCCTTCTGATTTAGTCCAAAACCGAAAGAACCCGGCGGTTCAGAAACACCGAATCCTACAGCAAATGAGGAGACAAAGACTCCGGCTGCTCCTGGTGGCGAAGCACACACTGCACTGCTGCCGGTGACCGCCCTAGCCAAGGTAATCCGGTTTCATGGTGTCGCACTCAAGAAATTTCCTTTTTAGAGTGAAGAACAACCGACTGCCGACCCTCCGAATAAAGAAGCCCACGAAGACAAAGCAAAGCCCGACAACGGAGAAGACGGCAAGGATCCCCAGCCCGCACCAGAGCCTCCCAAGCCGAACGCAACCGAGCATGCCGATGACACCGAGAAACCACCGGAAAACGCGGAGGAGGGGGTACAACTATCCTTCGTTTCATATATATGTTGCTCTTCTAGGGTTTGAAAGTCGAAAAGAAGGCCAGCAAGGCGCCGTCAAAGCCAAACGTCGCTGATGCTAATGACACTCAGAAACATCCGGAAAATGTGGAGGATCAGGTAAAGTCAGGCTGCATTTAATACAAATGTTGCTCGCCTAGGAGTTGAAAGTCGAAAAGAAAGCCAGCAAAGCGTGCTCCAAGCCAAATGCCGCAGACGTTCCTCATGGCGGTGAAAAAGAAGACACGCCAAAGGTCAACGTGGAAAAGTCCCCTTCGAAGCCAAAATCTGTCGACAAGGCGACGATTGACATTAAGGTGACTATTACCTTTTTGTATGGATCTAGAAAAATGAACTACCTAATTAGATTCAACTCTCGCTTATAGGAGGAAAAAGCACTGCGCAAACCATCGAAGCCGTCAACGAGCGAAAATGTGGATGTGGCTGAGGTGAACAATGGAGCAAAGGAGGACAGGCCCACAAAGGCTCGCTCAAAGCCGCGAGCCGGTGACAAGACGACCCATGATGAAGAAGCGCTCGTGACAAAGGTCTGGCCAACCCTAGTTTCTCGAGTTCTGCCAAAATTTCCAGGACACGAAGAAGAAAGACAAAAAAGAGGGCATCGCCAGATCTCCTTCGAAGCCGAAAAGTGGCGATAGGACGGTGATTGATGAGGAGGTGACTTATGTAATCCTACACTTTTAAGCTGTTTGTTTGCACTTAAATCTATTTTTAGGAGTCAAAGGACCACAAGGCCCCCAAAGCCCGCTCGAAACCGAAAATCGGGGAGAAGACCACCATAGATGAAGAAGAGGCTGTCACAAAAGATGCCCAAAAGCCTCGGAAGAAATCGGAAAATGTAAGGCGTCTAGGTCTCTCTTGAAACTTTCTTAGGAGAAGAACAAGAAGAAGACGAAAAGGACCAGCTCGAAGCCGAAGGATGTCGATGCGACGGTTGTTGATGACATCGATGCTGGGCGAAAAAAGACAGCCAAGTCTCCGATGAAGACGAAGGGCGATAATGGGAAGACATGTGTGGATGATGTGCGTGATACTTTATCGTCACTTTCCAAATATGATTCTCTTTTTAGGACTTGCCAAAGAAAAAGAGGTCGAAGCAGACGCAGTCGACGGATGAGACGCATGTCGATGACCAGGAAGACCCACCGAAGGCCAAGGTGGCCAAGTCGCCTTCGAAGCCGAAGCATCGCGATCGCGATAAGACTGTGATTGACGACGATGTGAGCCACGTGATTATTATTGAGCACTCGGTTTTGATCGTCTAGGATTTATTCTGGGTTATTGGCGAGGGGGCGGGCTAACTGGGTCTGATTATCCTGTATATAGAACGTGCATAAAAAATAACCCAATTTTGTTCTAAACTGCAGATAGCCCCTCCCTCGGCCCGACCCTCACGTAGTAGATCTCCCCTCCCCGTTGCCCTACAGGTCTGTAAAGTACGCCAAAATACTCGCCAGAGCAAGACGAACATTTTGGTATACGTTATACGTCTCTGGAAAAGCGATAGGCCGAGATACAATAGGTGAGGGCCGAGCGGGGGCTATCTCTGGTCTACGCCCTAACGGTCCAGAACCGGTCATTTTGGTTGTTTTCAGGATGGGAACCGCAAGAAAAGACCTTCCAAGTCACCTGCCAAACAACTAACGGTTGATCACACGGTTATCGACGACGATGAGTGTCCAAAAATCTCTTCCATGAAGACGCAGGCCACTACTGACGACGAAGAGAAGAAGAAGGCCAAGAAACCAAGGAGCCTCTCGAAGGCGAACCGCAAGGAAAAAGAGGCGGGCACGGTGGTTGATGAGAAGACACTGGTAAACATTATATCTGCAGTGCTTATAGATTGAACTAGGGCTGGACCAAAGCTTAACCCCGGGAATGACTTTTAAGGATGTCGAATCCGATGCGAAAGATGCGAAAACACCAGTCAAGCCAGCGTCCGAACGACCCGTTCCTGCTGTGCCAAAGCCTGTAGACGATTTTTCACATCATCAAAATTGCTTTTAGAGGGGGGCCCGCAGAAGACGAATGAGTACCGAGACTATTGACGATCCTTGTGATTGGGCTCTGGGTACGCTGTACAAAGTTTGTTGCCAAAAATTTGCCAATAATATCCTTAATTTCAGCCGCCGCCGCCTGTTGTGAAACCAAAGAACCAAAGAAGCTTCTTTCACTTCCTCCTGGGAAAGAATGGCATGTTTTTTTTTGATTTGTCCGCGTAGGTTACCGTATTTTTCTTTTAGCTTTAAATGTGTCTTCAGAACTTTTTTGCATAGGTCTAGAATCCTACTATATATAAAAAAATAGTGTCTGTGTGTGTGTGTGTCTGTGTGTGTGTGCCACTTTGCATCCACTTCCGTCTGTCTGTCCGGAGGATATCTCAAGAAGGGACGGGTATTAGGCTACGTATAATACGTCATTAGGTGCGTAATGGTCTAGGGATGACTGCACACATCTCAAATTTTTAAAAATTGGCCATTTTCGCTATTAAATTTAGGTTTTTGTAAAAACCTCTTTGTTAGGAATAATTAGCATAGAGCGGAAGTGGGTGGTCGCCTATATAAAGAGGCAGAAAGGGTTATTTTTCATTTTTTGTCTTCTGATTGAATGGAGGACAATTATTCAAAGGGCAGAATAGTATGGGGTCCGAGACGGGGCCAGGGTTGAAAAGTCGCGAAGCGGCTTTTCAACCCTGGTTGTCTAATAACTTAATAGGAAGCGACTTAATGGTGTGTTTAGTAAAATCTAATCTAATTATATCCTACTATATATAAAAAATAGTGTCTGTGTGTGTCTGTGTGTGCCACTTTGAATCCACTTCCGGATGTCTGTCCGGAGGATATCTCAAGAAGGGACGGGTATTGGGCTACGTTTGATACGTCATTAGGTGCGTAATGGTCTCGGGATCACTGCACACATATAAAATTTTTAAAAACTAGCGATTTTCGCTATTAAATTTAGGTTTTTGTAAATACCTCTTTGTTAGTAATAATTAGCATAGACCGGAAGTGGGCTGGCCTCTATATAAAAAGGTAGAAGAGGTTGCTTTTCATTTTTCTGTTTTCTGAATAGAGGACAATTATGCAAAGGGCTAAATAGCATGTGGTCCGAGACGGGGCCAGGGTTGAAAAGTCGCGAAGCGGCTTTTCAACCCTGGTTTCAACTAGAAGAACTATCTCAAAACCTTAAAAAAATAGATATTTGTCAAATTTCGGCCATTTTTGCTCGAAAATCGATATTTTGTGATTTCTAAATAAAAATTGATAGCATTTTTTAGGAGCACTTCCTCTATTTATATTTAAAAAATTTAGCGGCTAAAAAAGTTGCGACCCACCCGTGATAATGCGAAAGAACCGATTTTTCGCTATAGCTGTAGCTAATGTATGTTAGGGGGAATACTTTCGTTATAGAGACGCCACCGGCACCGGCGCCGAAACCCGCGGAGACGGAGCTGAGTTCATTTGCAACCACTAGGCTCAAGAAAGGGCCTGTTGATGCGGCATCCCCGGAAGGCCTTGGTCTACGATTGAAGCACGCTTTCAACAAGCCCTTCCCCAAAGACGATACGCTCAGCAGGCTGACACGCAAAGCTCGATCCAAGATCGAATGCTCCGGATATGTTGGTATTCAATCGTTCGCCGTGCTTACGAAAAAGTCGATTGAAAGCCAATTCGAATCTTTACAAAATGCCAGAATCAAATTTTTAACCAAAAATCATGGTTTCTCGCAAATTGAAATAAATTTGTCAAATTTCTATATTTAAAAACTGCGTGAAATGCTATACAAAGAGTTTTTATTTCATGGCTGGGCTCTACGGGGCGTTAGGTCCAGGTTAGGCCCCCCGGTAACAGCCCAGAACCGTTATTTATTGCAGAACACGCACCTCTTGAAAGAAGGCGACGACACGGTGACATCATCTCCGAAAGTGTAAGCCCGCGGAATAAACACTTAATTTGATCGTCCTTTTAGGGGGAAGAAATTGGAGATGAGAGACGAAGATGCGGCGGCGACTGTGTTGCAAATCCAAGATGTTGTGCGCAAAGATCTCGTGCTTGTCACGACCAACCGCAACAACGGCGGCAAGCTGTTCGTCGCGGTATCTTTTCGATGGCTGCTCGTAAATAGATCTAGAACCGCCCATTCTGGTGTGCTCCTATCGCAGAAGGCGAAGATACGACGAGCGAGGAGAAGGCGATCGCTTCATCGGTGGTCGTCGGTCGGGAAATATGGTTTTTCTGTCAATGACACGTTGTAGCCGTCGCCAAAGAAGGCAAAAAACTGGCTGAGCCCCCTGAAGAAGAGTGAGTTGTCGGCTATTAGGGTTTCGGTTCTTTAATGGTTCTAGGGGAAACGGAATTTAGGGGTTTTATTTTTGTTTTTAAAACTCCTGATACGCCGAGTAGCGTGATGGAGAGTATTTGAATAGGGTTTTTGGTAATATCTGGTTAGATTTCTTTAAGATTTTAGAAACGCTTCTTTTTTCGGAGTATAAAAATTTGGTTATCCCCGGAAATACATGTCAATCTTCGTTTACAGGATCTGCATCGACCCGTGGGTCTCCGTTAAAGAGATGCAGGTGAAGGACAAGGGCTGGTTCGACAAGGACGTCGTCTTCGGCAATACAGTTCGTCCTCAACCCAATTTTTGAGCACGTACATTCCAGGTGCGCAACATCATCAGCTGTATGACGGTGGATATGGATGCACCGTTGACAACCCGCCCCGGACCCGAATATCCACACATCATCCTGCCATCGAGGCCACCGTCCATCGAGAAGCAGTACCATTTTGAAGCGTTCACCCACAAATTTTATCCTGTCCCAGGTATGCCATTTTAGTTGAGCCTATGTATGTCTTTTAGCCCCTTACAAGCGCACGAATCGAGGTACCCGCCCAATAAGGTTACAGAACAAGAATGATAAAAAGCCCCCGAGCCCGGTAGGAATCTATTTTTCAGCCCATACATACCGATTTTTAGCTGATGCGGCGTGGAAGCGCTCGACTGTCATGAGACGCGGAACTCGGATGCACCACATTAAACACGGCGAAAGCGACAAAGTCGATTGTGCTGTAATTATGACTTAATTGTCTGTTGTATGACTATCAAATTCCTGCAACGAACCCTGTTATACTCGTCTCCAATTGTGAATAAAGATGGCATTTAGGGGAGCTTGTGGTGTGATTTCCGCTGGTTACGGTCATTATATGGTCCGATCGTATAGATTATTTTCGGACCGAGCGCGAGATTTTCGGTTTTGGTGGACGACTTATATATCGGATCACCTGCGAGATATTTGATGGTATTTCTGGCAAATTGCCAGCGATCGCTTTTAATCATCAAATTTAAAGTTTTTTTTACCCCTGAGGTACATCCTAATTAGTAATATGAGGTAAATTAATAAATCACCGCGCACTTTTTACCTACTATGATTTTAGTGCCCAAATTTTATAGTTACGTGGCGTATTACAATCGTGCGAAACGTGCGACGTTTGCTAGCTGTCATAAAGAACCGAACTGCTACGCCGTTTGACCTTCTAGTGCAAGTTTGGCTTTTTGATCTGCTGTGCACGGCGATCTAATGTGGACATTGACCGGGATGGTCAGATGCCCTGCGGCGACTTCTCCCCCACTGACTGACCCCATTGCACCGCCTTATCAAGTTCCCGTGTTTTTCCCGCCCAACATCGTCACCGATTCGCGTTGCATCCGCGGCGAAAACCGGCACGTTTAGCACCTAACGGTAGCCTAGGGTTCCGGGTTTGATTATCCCCATATTCTTTCTATAGCCGTTCTTTTTCGTTTTCTATTGTGTTCTCTTACAAATTTCAAGCTTTAGTCGATACAATGACGAGGAAGATCAACTTCGGCGCCGGACCGGCCAAAATCCCGGAATCGGTAATGGAAAAGGCGGCCAGCGAGTTCATGCTTTTTGGAAATACTGGCGTCTCAATTCTTGGTGAGCGTGTTTTTAATATCTTCAATTTTCCTTCCTAGAAATGTCCCACCGATCCGCCGATTTCACGGCCATCATCGAGGAGACGAAGGCGCTGCTGCGTGAATTGATGTGGGGTGTTCTATTCATTTTATGACCTTATTTTCAGGCAAATCCCTGACAATTTCGAGGTGCTCTTCATGCATGGCGGCGGAACCGGGCAGTTTGCGGCTGTGCCGCTGAATTTGAAGCGCGACAAGGCATTTTGACCCGGAATTTTCAAAATTATTTTTTAGAGTTCCGCTGATTACCTCGTCACCGGCTCCTGGTCCGACAAAGCGTTCAAGGAAGCCCAGAAGTATTTGGACGCGAGACGAGTTTGTTGCCCTGGCGTGAGAGCTATCTAATGTTGAATTGTTTAGGTGTTCCCCCAGGTGAAGCCGATCACGACGGTGCCGCCTGTTGACAAATGGGAGCGCAATCCGGACGCGGCCTACCTATATTATTGCGCAAACGAAACGATTCACGGCATTGAATTCTTTGACGTATTTGCCAACTCGGATTTTTTTATTTATTTTTTAGGCTCCCGAAACGCTGCCCGGCGTGCCGCTTGTTGCCGATATTTCCAGCACGTTCCTCTCAAGGCCTTTCGATTTTACTAATGTGAGTTTTTTTTGCAAAATTCGAAAAACCTCGTTGTTTTTTTAGCACGGCGTCGTGCTCGGCGGCACACAAAAGAACTTGGGGGCCGCTGGATTGACGGTAGCCATCGTGCGCAAGGACTTGATTGGTCACGTGAGCGTACTTTTCTATTCATAGACTTCTTTTTAGGAAATGACAATCACCCCATCTGTGCTTTCCTACAAAATCTCGCACGACAACAACAGCGTCTACAATACACCCTCTGTGTATAGGTATCGTTCTCCTGGAATTTCGTGAAAACATCCATTTTAGCATCTACATCACTAACCTAGTCTTGAAGTGGATCAAGGAGAAGGGAGGCGCCGCAAAATTGTGGGAGATCAATACGGTATGATTATAGATGACTAGCATTAATATTCTTTTTAGCAAAAAGCCAACCAAATCTACGAAATTATCGACGGATCGAATGATTTCTACCATTGCCCAATCGACAAGAAACATCGGTCACTGATGAACCTCCCGTTCAGGTGTGAAAAATCTTTTGCCTGATCGAAATTCCTCTAATCGGAAATAACTCAAAATCTAGTTTTAACACATGTTAGAAGCTGAGAAAAAACACAAATTTTTAGAATCTTTTCGAGGAGGTGATTTTCGATCAGGCGATTTTTCGATCAGGCGATTGCCATCCAGAATTTTCTTTTATTTATTTTTTTCAGGATTGGTGGACCGAACGGTGATGAAGCGTTAGAGAAAGAATTCTTGGCCGAAGCTACGGCCAACGGAATGATTGGGCTGAAAGGACATAGGTGCGGTTTTCCTTTTTGTTTTTATCTTCTTTTTTTCCAGATCCGTTGGCGGTATCCGGGCCTCACTGTACAATGCAATCACCATCGAGGAAACGGCCGAGCTCGCCAAGCTGATGACCGAATTCCAGCAGGCGCGGCAGAAGTGAATTGACCGTATTTTTATGCAGTACATTGACAATTTGATAAACCATGTGATTCTCAGTGTAATAGTGCTGCTTTACTATTGCTTATCTAATTATGAGAAAACTTTATTAGCATGGGGAAAGGCACTTGGGCGCAATATTTTGTTTCTGGGTGCGGACTGAGTAGTGTGTACAAGAAGAGGTCGGGCGTGGTGGAGGAGCGCGGCGAGTTGATTTTCTAGTACATGTTTACATTTTTTAGATTCCAAATCCAACTTTCCGCTCCCACCGCCACGACGTAAATACAGGATGAAAGGCTTCCGAAAGCGGGGCGTAGAAGTCTGTCAGACTCAAAAACTGCACTAAACACATGGCCGGGGGAAATAAATGCGAAAATGGATATAAAAGTAGAAATTGATTGGTCGAGGAATGGAATGCAGTGAAATGGGGGGGTCACCGGTTTGCGCATATCAGAATTTGCAAAAAAATAACGGGGTATTAATAAATATATAAATTAGGGCTAAAATTATTGCTAGTATAAAGGAAGCTGGGCTGAATCGTCGAGATTTTGCAGGAATAGACAAGCGTTGTCAGCCAGAAATATAGATGAAGCTCGACTCGACGATCGAGAGAATCACAAGAAAAGCGAAGATTTTTGCAGGGACCCGTCGATAGGTGTAGTACGGAGCGTTAACTGTGGCCAATGGAAAGCTGTCACCGATTGATGGTGTGGGATGAAGCGGATGCTTGCATTGTGCCCTCGGTCTCATAGCGGCATTCTGACTTCAGCTTCACGAATTCCTTAGCCACCTGGAAAGTTCATCATTTTTGTGTTTAGGCTTCAATTGTAAAATGATTCCGCTGTTACTAGCTTAATTCCTAATTTTGGAATTTTTGTCGAAAATGGGGCAATTTTGTCGAAAGATCTAGAATATTTGTAACTTTTACTGGAAATTTGTAGTTTTACGTATAGATATAAAAAACAGTTTAACAACCCTTCTTCCATTTATTGCAAAAAGTAGAAAACGCAAAAAATATTTGAACTCAGACGGGGAATCGACTCATTCACTTGCAGTCAGTCGATAGCTATCATCACTGTTCATTCACTAGCACTCACCTCATCATTCTGCCTTTGGGACAGGATGCGCAGTAGGATGAGTCCCGTGTCATCAATATGAAGCCGGGCGCCCAGCTGGACCCATTGGTTCAACGATCCGCCTGCAACGGGTGGGGTCGAACCGGCGATGGGTGGCACGCCAGCCTGGCACGCTAGCCACTAGACCACGGGCAGAGGCAGAGTGGAGCCGCGGGGGGAGGGTCTTGTCTCGGCTGGGCCGGAGCACGCCCGTTGGGTTAGGGCTGTTAGAGACATATCCCAGCTTTTTCACGCATTTTTGTTATTTTATATGTTTTAAATGGTTTAAAAGCATTTTTCAGCTTCAGAAAAGGGTCCACTGTGCCAGCCGAAAAGCATAGATTTTTTTAAACTTTTAATCGAATTAAAAAGGCTTAAAAAGTGATAAATCCATTCTTTCGTTCTTTGGCATTATCGGGGGACCTACAGGTCCAGAAATGCCTTGTGTCGTACAAATTATAGTTTTAATAGTATTTTTAGGTAAAATTTTGCTATATTTCAATCGGAACTCTGTCTAAAACCCAGGAAAATTTCGAAATTTTGGTTGAAAAATCGGGATATTTGCTTAATAAAATATTACCTTTTTTGTATTCCAATGACCTACCGGCTTCAACAACTTGCGCCAGCTGCAGCACACCAACGCCCACGATTCGATCCTCGCGCATCAGGCAGTAGTCTTTCACCTGGAACATCAGCTCGTAGTGCTCCGGTTCGCCCTCGTTGCCCAGGAACCTGAAAGGGGTTTGGTGGTGAACAGCACAAAAACTAGAAGTACTTCGCATATATTGGATATTTAGATCTATCTAAGTTTACTTACATATGGAACGTCTCGTTGAACTTTGGCGCCCATTCGCCTTGGCGTGACTTCGTGGCGACGCGCCGCTTTTTATCGGCCAAATGCGGTCCCACCTGAAACGATATAAAAATAGTTAATTGAGATTAAAGTAAAAATTGATAAAATTTTAACTTAATTGATATTAACGAAATAAACTTACGAGGTGCACCTCGACGAACGGCTTGAAGACGGACGTCGTCTGCCAGCGCAAATCGTTGGCAGCATAGACTGGAAAGTTTGGAAATAATTTTACGTCTCAATTTGTAGAGTTATTTTAATAAATACATATTTAAGAACCTACTTTTTATCGTCAACTTCTGCTCGCCGGTGGCTGGATGGCTGAACAGGTCGACCGTGACGGATATCTCGCCGACCGGTTGCTCTTGCGAGGGCAGATCTGAAATATTCGGTTTTTTCACTGATTTTCATAGCGTAATCGGTTTATTAATGACCAAAAAGCTCGAAATTGGCTTCGTAACTTACCCTGCGATGTCTGCGTCCTGATGAACGTCTTGATGAGCTGCTCGGTGGTCTGGGTGTACAGCGAGAGAGCATATTTCAGGGATTGCAACTCGGGGCTTTTCTCGAAGAATCCCTTCTTCAGTCCCATCCCTCCGGCGTGGAACGACTCCTTGATGACGTCGAGGGCCGCGTCCAGGACCGTACACTGCTTTGGGGTCAGGGCACGTTCCGAATCTCGGGCAAGGTCCTGGATTTGGTGATATCATACCGCAAACAGCGGATATAACCGTTTAAAGCTTAACTCACCATCATTTCCTTCACCGAATTCATACTCTTCACGTCTTTCAGCGTAGATGCCAGCTTCATTGCGCCGCCGATTTTGGCGTTGGGTAGTTGGCGCAGAATCTAAAAACATAAAAATTCGGGTGCTTTGGCATTATCAAGGGGGATGGAATTTTTTACTTTTTAAGTTCAGAAATATCTAGTAACAGTAGTAATAGTGATTTTATTAATATGAGACAAACAAAAGGGTTTCTAAGCAAAAAAAGAGCTGATAAACACGTTCCCTTTCTATATTGTAAAAATTGGATCCTAATAATACAGGAGATACTGATAGAAACCCCCCGATAATGCAACAGGACCAAAAAATAAAATTTTTATAGGTTTATAAAACCCAACTTACCGCGTTCTTATCAGCCAAAGGTGGCAACACGACGATTCGTTCCATACCCTGGATTGTCATTCGCCACAGTTCCTAGAAATACGTTAAAATAGACCTATAATTTTACAAAAATAACGATAAAATTAATATTATCATTATAATCACCTTTAGTAGATATTTTAGGACCGTCTTTTCGCAGCCTTGAGCATATCGTTGTAGCGATCCTTCCAGCATGTCCATCAACGGCGCCAACACCATGTCCACTTCCTGAAAAACGGCATTTTTTGGGGCGCAAAATTTAGAATAAAGTAGCTTAAAAGCGGAAATATAGAAGTTTTTGGCAAGAAATTCCTTAGAAAACCTCCGACCTGTTGAACTTGCGTCTTCTGCAGCTGCGGGCCCTTGACCTTGGCGAGACGGGTGCCGAGCTCGTTCATCTGCCCGTCTATACCGCGCTCCAAGCTGATGGCGAACTGGAAAGGAGAAAATAGCGCACAAGATTATTAACAATGCTAAAACGAAACCATCAATAACTTCTCGAAAAACGCACCATTCGACTGAGCTTGTCGAGCACCGAATTCAGCTTCTTCTGCAGGTTGGTCAGCACCTGGCTTGCCTCCTGGTCCAGCTCGGCGCCGCCCATATTCTCGTAGATCTTCTCGAGTTGTACTCTATAAAAACCGTTCTTCAAAGGGTTTTACGATACAATCAAAGTGCCAGAGCTCTAATTGCACCCAACAAAAACGAAAACGGTGAAAAAGACGCTGTTTTTTACGATAAAACTCGGAAAACATACCGTAATTGCTGGACGTTGTTCATCAAAATGCACGCCATCGTCTCCTCCTTGGCGAACACGGCGAAATCTTTTTGGACCATGTCCGCGTAGGCGAGCAGCACCTGTAATAGTCAGCGGTCAAAACAGCGCAGTAGTTAAAGGCTAAGTTAAAATTCACGGCGCTTTAAAATTGATGCCATAAAAATTAACCCAAAAACGCACCTTATTGAGCGTCTTCGAGAATCGTCGCATCATCTCCGCGTATACTTCCGGATTAGGGCAGTCCATCTGGAAAACCCCGAGTGAGGTTATTATAGTACTTGGGAGGGATTAAGTAAGAATATTTTGAATAAAGGCTGTTTTTCTACTTGCAAATTTTATAAAGTTTCGGCCTTAAAGTTGAAGCTGACCTGCTTCAACAGCTTCAATGCTTCGTTCAGCTGGGTGAAGACGTCGACGACCGAGTTGGAGAACTTTGTATGGTCGGAGGTTTGTGGGAAGTGGTCGGCTTTGTCGCTAAAAAATAAGGTATTATTAATATGATACGTATCTGCTTCAACCATTTTATAGAATGTTATAAAATAAAGAATTAGATAAGTGAATCTTACCGATTATAGGCATTTCTCAGGATCTCCATCGAGTGCTCGTCGTTTTCGTTCAGCCAATCCATCACGAATGGGATGAACCACCTGCAAATAAAAAAATATATAAAAAATAAAAATAAGCTAATTTTGTAACGCTATATAGTTTCTAAACCCTAAAAAAATATTGATAGTAAATTAGGATGGCTTTGCGCGGGTGGCCCCATTGAATGGCTCGCAGCGGGCCGGAAGAAGGCCATTTGCCTTGTCTTTAGGCTAAAAAGGGAATGAGAGAGAAAGGAGAGAGAGAGAGAGAGAGAGAAACAATCGAGTGGAATCAATTTGCCGGGGTTCAACGGCTCGAGAAACGTTAGCGCAGACATCAATTCCGAGTCTCTAGACGCTCAATGAAAGAAAATATAAGAGTCGGGGCCAGAGCGGGAGCTTCTCAAAAATTCCCACGCCATCTTTCCGCTGCCGTTAGGCAAATATGGCGAGTCTGGGAGGGAATGAGGGGAAAATGTTGTCATTTGGTATTCCGTCCTTAGCGTATTTTGCTGGATTCCGCCCCTTTCAAAACATTTGAGCCTTGTCATTTGAAAGTCATTGGCTCGAAATTCCCAAGGAAACCCTGCTAGCACTGCCTGTTTATTATTTTCTTGCTACGCAATTTTTTTTCTTATTTCCCAAAGAAACTCTGCTATCCTGCCATGTCCGTCAAAGTACGAAAAAGCCAAGAGCTCATAAATTACAGCGTCCAGTGGAGCCATGCGTAGCGCAGCATGCTCCATCGCTTTTTATATGTTTGCTAACTTTTCGGTGCTTTCTCATTAACGGGGGGAAGATAGATAAGGGAAATAGAGTAAGTGTTTCTAAAAGTTTTTTTACTATTCTTGAGCGTAAAAGTGAAAATTGCGTAAGTGAAAGCGTAAATTTATCAACTTTGACCCCCCCCCCGATAATGCAACAGCACCTTTTTTAGCATATATCAATTTAATAACTCACGCCGGGAACTCGGGAATGGACTGTTTGTACTGCGGCAGCTCGGCGATGTATTTGAAGTAGAATCCTTTGACTTTGAAGTAGAGATTCATATAGTCGGGTGTCTGGCATCGTTTCTTTTCGGCATGTTCTGCAAATTTCCGGGTGGTTATGTTTTGTCGTAATTTCCTCCCTCACCTTCAAGCGCTATTTGGAGGTCCATTTTGTAGGAGTACCACAGGGTCGCCGCTGATAATTGGCCCACGTTTAGTTCCTGGAAATGGCAGGTATTTCTAATCGGAAAAATCTCGACAATGACTATTTTTCGGAACTGGATTGTTAGCGGCGAGGGATTTTAGCGAGGAAATAAATTTTTGCCAGGAATCCTTTACGGCCTTATAACATAATTTAGACCATTTTGCGAGCATTTTAAACAGTTTTTAGATTGAAAAAGCGCAACTAAATCAAATTTTGAATTTCAATAAAATTTTGCTGTTAGGTAAAAAGCATAAAAAATTAGCTGCAAATATCAACATTTCCAAATTTTAAAGGTAGGACTTTTTTTGCAATTTTCTAGCCACCAAAGACACTAAAAACGTATGAAAATACAATTTATTTTATTAACAGGATTCCTCCGTTTTATACATTATTAATCAACATCTTAACAACCCTCAAAAATTATCATAACTTTCAATTTCGTGACTTTCAAAAAATAAAAACTATAAAAACACGGTATATTTTAACGACAGGTAAAAAAGGCTATTTATTTTATTAGCAAACGGAAAAATTTAAATTAGTCCCCCCGGTAACAGAACAGTACCAAGACGTCGAACACCTCGAGTTTTTCACAATTTGCATACCTGCGGGAATTGGTTGAGGGCGGGCGTGTAATCCTGCTGGTCCTCCTCGATGGTCCGCATCAACTCATCGATGAAATTGTACCAAAATTGGACAGAGTCGACAGACGGACATCCGGTCTCGCAGCATCTCTCGAATAACATTTGATATGTGGCCTGCATACACGCCTTCGCGCATTCCTTCACTACGTTCGAGGCTCGCGGTGGTGAGGACAGCTCGAGCACCTCAAATTAGCGATTAAAAAATTATTATAGAAACTCATATCGTATAAAAAATTCGGTGCTTTCGCATTATCGGGGGGGGGCAACGCTTTTTTACTATTTCAGCGTAAAAACTGTGCAAATTTTATTGAAAAACGAAAAATATGCGGTTTCCGACTAAAAATGCCCTTTTCGACCAAAATTTCAATTTTTAAACGTTTTTCAGATAGTTTTTAACTTGAAATGAGTCAATTTTTGCTAAAAATATGTTAACCATTTCATGTGACGTTAAAAATCGAACAATATTCCTTTTTCGACAAAAATGAGCTTTTCGACCAACATTTAATTATTTTCCAAGTTTTTTTTCATAGTTTTCCGCTTGACATTTCGTTAAATTTTCAAAAACTGTTAAAATAATTACCATTACGTGAAATTTACCCCCGATAATGCAAAAGTACCTTTATTAGATGACATGTTTTTGCAAAATTTCGCATTTTTATGTAGAATTTTCACATTTTTAACAATACCAAAAATTTAAAATTTTGTTTCTGCTTTTAAAAAAAAATAGTATGATGTATATGAGTCTTAGCAAAGTATAACTGAAACATTTGACTTACTTTCATGCGAAAGAAGGTGATCGAGGTGAGCAGGTCGACGGTGCTCCGCAGATCCTGGAGCTTCTGCGAGGATGAGGCGGGGAAATTACTCTGAAAATGGCAGATTCTGATATAGATATCCACCGAGGTATTGCTGATAAAACAGACATTACATTACAAACTCTCTAAAACGCGCTCCCCAGATGATCTGCTGACTAAAACCAGCGCGGGGCGCACATTATTTCACGCGCTATTTCGGCAAATCCATGCCGGAGAGGGGAATTGACGTCAAACACATCTGCGCCGTGAAAATCGGGGGCTTTTAAGGGATTTTTAACTAGTTTTGGATTTAGAGGTGCTGTTGCGTTATCGGGGGGAGGGGCAATTTTTCATTAAAAACCAATTTTGCTAATATAAATCGAGAAAGAGTTTCTAAACGATTTGTTTCACTATTCTAAACGTAATAATTTCACAATTTTGGGCAAAAAAAAAATCAAAAAATCGATTTTTAGACAAAAATGGCCGTTTTCGAACAAAAATCTAATTTTTTAAATGTTTGTAGATAGTTTATCACTTAAAATATGGTAAAACTTTATTAGAAACAATCGAAATACTTACTATTACATTATTAGGAATTTCTGGGCTTATACAAAAGATCGGTTCCTCCTCCCCCGATATTGCAAAAGAACCAAATTTTACAAATTTCCAGGTTTTTGGATAGTTTTCTAGAAATAGCTTCAAGTTACGGTAAAAGGTTTCCTCTATTTGATTCGAAATCCCCCCCATAATACAAAAGCTCCAAAAATAAGTTCCACGCGTTTCCCCTAGGGATACTGTAAGAGCAGCTGTATGGTGAAAGAAGAGCTGAATCCGGTAGGGGGAATCGATGGGATTTGTCGAGCCTCAAGGGCGGGTTATAGAAAGACAAAAAAAGGGGGGGGGCGGCTTTCGGGGGGATAATCTGCCGGGCCGAAATACGACTTTTCACCCGGGGCGGCTTTGGCCCTGTGGTAAACACGGCCAAAGCCGGGGCCTGCCGGATCAGGATTGTAGGCCCATTTTTCGGGTGGTGGGGGCCCGAAAAAATCCGGGGGTTATTGGCGGGGCAAAGAGGGGCAGATTTGTAGATTTGCGTCAAACCGGGATTTTCGGGGCACAGGATTTAATCTTATAGGAATGGTGGAGGCAGAGAAAGAGAGAGAGAGAGAGACCTATAGCGAGACAGAGAGAGACAGACAGACGCACAGGGTAATTACGAATTACTGAATTGTCGGTTCTTTTGCATTAACGGGGGGGGCGAAGTAGCTATCCCCCCGATAATGCAAAAGCACTGAAAATACATATGGAAGACTTTAGAAAATATAAAAACAGTACCTAGTAAGTATAAGTAATACCCAAGCAAAAAAAGCCGCGTTAAAACCCACTAAATGCGAATGATGTGGCTATTTTGGAGCGCGATTTAGGGGGCAGGGCCAGTCAGGCCGGGCTGATTGCGGGCCTTGTTCTATCTAGGGGCAACCCGCGAAAACTCAAGTCTTGCAGGGGAAAAAGGGCAGAAGCTCGAAAAATGTTCTAACTCTGCTCTCTCTCTCTCTCTCTCTCTCTCTTGTCTCTCTTGACACGGTTAGAGTCGATATTTTTGGTGTTTTTAAACACTCACCCTATACATTGACAAATCGATGCGCAGCGAGTTGTGCAGCTGGTCGAGAAGTCGAACGAAACGCTCCTAAAATAACTATTCTGACGGACGATTTCATTAAATACAAGCTGATATTTAACCAGACGTTTAATGAAATCAGATGTAGCTTGTTTTCGCATTAAAACAAAAGTTAAAGCTCATCGTCAGACCTTCAAAAGCTCACCTTCCCAAAATTCGTCGCCGAGAACCGATCCGATGCCGACACGGCCGATTGGGCCGTCGTGTGCGCGTAAAAGGCATTAATGTTGGCGAGCAACGTCGAAAGTACGGCCGGCACTGATCCACACATGTATTTTGTGCACAGACACGCAAAGTGGGTCATCGCCTGCAAAAAAAGTGTTGAAAACCCCCTTAAAAATACCTGATAAATTCCCTCAATGCCGTATCGCATCGCGAACTCGTCGATGATCTCCTGGCTCGTCTCGTCGAAGAAGATCTGAAAGTTTAACAGGTTTTTGTTACTTTGAAAGGCCAAAAACCTTCCAGGCGTCTTCCCCTTTTGCATCGGGCAATCGGACCTCGTCGTTGTCGGTGCAGTGGTTCTAAAATTTGATTAAATGAGCTATAGTTAATTAAAAAGACGGCCTAAATAAGAATTAAAACTCACCGAAAACAAATGTTCGTGAAGACAGGTGTATTGGACGTGATAGGGCGCCAATTTCTCCTCTCCCTTGATCTCCACCGAGATGTGCAACCGGATCGCGCCGGAAACGGCCGATTTGTCCGTGCGCTTTTCTGAAATTTAAGAGGAAATTAATAATAATTAGTTAGATACTCACGTTATAATATACCCGAACAATGTCAGTTTCTAGACTATTTTTTATCTCGTTTGATCACTTAAACACTGACCCAAATTGTACCAGACGTCCATCTCTCCGGATAGTGTTCGCACCTCGATGACCGTTTGCCCCAGAAAGTCGTCGCTTTCCCGTGTCAATTTCTACAATAAGTATTACTGTTTCATAATCGATATCTTGTATACCTGTCTCAACTTGCTCTTCAAATCATTGTCCTCATCCCAAACGCGGATTTTGATGCGATCCGTCGAGTTGTGGCATTCAAAGAAAAATTTCTCGCTCCAAACGGGGTTGAGTTCTTGGTGGATCGTTCGGGTTCTTCGGCGTACTTTTCCGACCTGAAAGGATGGGTTTAAAGAGGTTGAAACTGCCAAAAACCGAGCTAAAAAGCGTTTTTGCTGCCAGCGCTTAATGTACGGATGTGCAAAGGAACTACGCGTAGTCTACGCAAAATGTTCGTTACCCTTGCTCATTTTAATGAATTTTATCGTTTTTTTCATGATAGCTTCGGTTTAATTAAGTGTCTGTCTGGACACACCCAATACAGCTAAACAACGAAGCTCCAGGGCGAAGGCCGGCTACGACATAATTCAAATGACGTAGCGATGTAACGAGTAGCATAACGTACTATCTCGTTCGCCAATATTTTTGGTTATACTAACAATTCAAAAGCTTATAAACATACAAGGTTATAACTTTTTTAACGTTTCATTTATATTTCATCGATTTCAGCATGCTTTTTTACCCCTTGCCCGAAAATTTTGTGCCTTGCGGGCAAATTTTTTTGCTAAATTTTTGAAGAACCGAGGCTCCTGCAGAATAAAATAGCACGAATTCAGAACCAGGAGGAAAAATAGTGTATTTGAAGTATCCCTTAATCTCCGGACGCACCTAGAACTTCGCGGAAATCCTCAAAATGTGCGCCAGATAACTAGTTTTAGTTTTTTCGGCCGAATCTAGTTCACGTTTGGGTCAGAGTATACACTCAAAAGATGCGCCTTCGTCTTCTCTATAAAGTTCTCAACTTTGAATCTGTGTAAAAACTCGTTTTGACATAAATTTTAAATAATTTATTATTTCCCCAACCCAGCTTTTTCGGGAAAGGCCCGCCACTGACCCATATAGTGCGACCCATTGACCGTAACCCAGCGCCCTTTTCCGCATCTAATCCGGCCCCCAGCGAGAATACGACACAATACGTTTACGAATTCCGTAATTAGTGTACTTGTACTTCGTTGCAGTTTTAATTAAGGCTGTAGCGGCTGTGTGGACCCTAACGTAGCTTAGAATTGACTACGCGTCGCTCCAAATGACATTCGTTCCCCGCCACTTCATTACAATAACAAAATTCACAGTTTTAGGCACGTTGAAATGCCTAGGAATTCACGAAATTGAATATAAATTTTTTTACCGACCTGTGCCGTCACATACGGGTCACTCTTGCCGGTCTTGTCCTTGGCGATCAGCCCCTGGGCGCAGATTACTAAAATTTGTGTTTTCGAATGGATTACGGCAGTTTTGTACCTGTTAAAGTGATCTTGGCGCTCCACTTGCTGCTCCCCTCGAGAACGGCGGCTTTCACTTGCTTCATCGTTTCCTGGTTGGTGCGCTCGTCGACGCCGAATACGATTCTGAATTCGACGCCGTTTAGAACTAAGGTCTCTCTCTCTCTCTATCTCTCTCTCTCTCTCTCTCTCTCTCTCTCGCTCTCTCTCACCTGATGGTCTCGAAAAGTTCGGGTCGATTTCGCTCCTGGATTTTCATGCGGTCCTTGATACCGGCTATCAGACTCTGCGTCCGGTCCCCTTCACCGTGTTTTGAGGATTTTTCGGCGGCTCCTAAAATGTTTGGATAGTTTCCACAAGGATCATTGCTAGTAGGCTGGTCATAGATTAATCGTAATTAATCCATAGTACATAGTGTGGCTTTCGCAGCCCTTTGAAATGTGAAGAAAAGGAGCGGGAAAAGGGAGAAACTGAGAGAACTTTTTTAGGGCCTTTTTCTAATTATAAATAACGTAAGAGATTCTAAGCTCTTTAATTACTATTTCTAAATACAAAAAGCTTACAAAACTTGATTAAAAATAGAAAAAAATGGTTTTTTGACAAAAAATCGCCTAAAACAAAATGTGAAGCTTTTAAGGTTTTTTTTTGATAGTTACATGTGAAATATGACCAAAATTTTACTAAGAACACTATTAAGATAATTACCGTTTATTACGTTACCGAGCATTTCTAGAATTGCCGGAAAAATTTCGATCCTCTCCCCCCCCCGCTAAGAGTCCAGTACCAAAAATGAACTCACGCTGCAGACAATCGGCCGACAATAGCTCTCGACATTTCTCGTGCACTTTCACCCCACATTCCGTACATCGGAGACCTGCAAATTCATTTTTTCACAAGTAGAAATTAGCATTTTTGAGGTATTTCTATAGCTGCCGTTGTCTAGAGGACCGGGCGCTCATGCTCGGCAAACCGAAAAAATATATAGGAGCTGAGGCCCGCGCGGCGCGGCTGCGTGGCGGCAGTCTACGGTATCAATCCAAAAACAGGGAAATATCGGTGGGGGGAGGGGTACGGTAGTTGTTGCAAAAGAGGATATTGACGATGCGGCCATCAGAAGAAAAAACCACAAGGCAGATCGGCAAGCGGGGGGGAAAAGCCGATTAATTGGGAACACGTAAGGGGTCCCGGTTATGCAGAGTTTCGAGGGTTTAAAGGGACTTGGAAGGCTCAAAACTGTCGTATTAAGATTTTTTTGATAGCGTAATCGATTCATTCTTGTGATCTCCAAGATTTTCTGATTCTGGTGCGTTAGCGGGGGGAGTTGGAGTCCGGAGCACCCCCGCTATTGAACCAATACCTAGAAATATCTAAAATTGACGAAAAACCTAGAGTTCCCTAGCGTAATCGGATGTCCAGCATTTTATAACGGAGCTAGTTTTTCGATTAGAATTTGATAGAATCAGTTACCGCAGACTTTTGTAACGTAATTGATTAGCCGCTAGAATTCCCTGCCGTAATCGATTCGCCCGAATTACATAGCCTAATCAGTTCGACCAGAATTTAACGGTCTAACTAACTGTCCTGAATTTGCTCGTGTAACCGATTATTTGCCTTCACAATCCCTTTAAACCGCCCGGAGATATTGTGTTAATACAGAGGGGATACATCGAAAAACACGAGGAACAATTTTGCGAAATGATGACTTGTTAGTAGTACCAGAAAAGCCAAGGGGAAAAGATATGGCTAACTCTCAAAAAATGCGGAAATTGTTAAGGGCTCTAAAAGCATTAATTGAAGGTGGAAATGGCTAGTGTTAAGAGGAGTGGAATCGAGAATATGTCGTTCGAATGAGAGAGAGAGAGAGCGAGAGAGAGTGGGAGAGTGAGTGAGAAAAGATGAGAGAGAGCAAGAGAGAATGAGCAAGAGGGAGTGAGAGAGCATGAGCGAGTCTGAGAGAGTGAGCAACAGCCATTAAAAGCGAGAGACATTTTTCGCCAAATTTTCCAAGATTTTCAATTTTTGCATGCCAAATTTCCGAGGGACAACGATGACGCAAAATCGGGGGAGCCTAAAAACCCGGGGGAACATTCCAGATACGGTAGGGGGGATTACGGTACATTCTTGCAAAAGAGAGAGAGAGAGCGAGAATAAGAGAGCGAGAGCATGAGAAGAGCGAGGGAGAGAGAGTGAGAGATTGAGAGAGAATACAGAAAAAGAGAGCGTCTACAAGGAAGTATGGCAAGCCGTCAACAGGGATTACCGCGTACTCATCACCGTTTTTCCGGGCTCTTCACCAATTCACCACTTACCAGCTGCAATTTGGAACCATCAGTTTGGGGGATATTCGGAGGGTTTTAAGGGCAGGTTGAAGGCTGATTTTTGCGGATTTTCGAAAGAATCTCTGCTACTCATCCTTTTAAAGGGACGGACAAGGCAGCCCTCAGGAATCCATAGCATTGCCTTTCCGGTCCCTTTAAACGACCGTTAAAGGCACTCGTTTTTGAGCGCGTAAAAACTTCTAGAAGCGCGAAAATTCCTCAATGGTCTTTGCTAGTTAGCCCCAGGCTCAAAAAAATCAAATTATCGCGAAAATTCACGACTTTCGGCTAGATTCGCTTAAAATTAGAAATGACATTTTTGAGAAATCGTGAGGGATATTATAATGTGTGATACCTTGTCGAGCCAATCCCCACAGCAGTCCCTCGCATTCATAGCACCACGTGGGTGTCTGGAAATTGGTGGTCTGGAAGTTGTGGGGGGTTGTGCACGAGATCGGGTAGATGACCGCCTGCACCGTCTTACGGTAGACGAGCGCTTTCTGCAAAAATAATTATGAAAAATTTGTCTAGTTTAAAAAATCGATAATGGCTCGCTGGACTCAATAATTGAACTCCTTGCCGTCATCCAATTTTTTCAAAACTTCCAAAAAATTCCTAAAGAATCCCTGCTGGTTTGCCTGAAGTTCCCAAAGGATCTCTGCTAGCCTACCCTTGCTTTCCCAAAGCAAGTAATAATTTTGTTTTGCAAAAAACGAAGGGCCGACTAGCAGATATCTGTGAGTTAGTTTCTGTTATCTAGTTTTCACCTTTTCTCAATTTTTGTTGATCGTCAAATTTTGTGGGCAGGCTAGCTGAGGCCCTTTGGGAAAGCCCCAAACTTCCCGAAAGATCTCTGCTAGCCTGCCCTGTCCACCACCCCTCCAATCCTTACCAATTCATCATTGCCAAACGTCGTCCTTGCCGCACTCGCCAACCCGGCCTGTGCCCTCTTCGTTTGCATCGTCTAAATTCCACTTCGTAACTTGCCAATTGACGCATCGTGTAATTCCAAGCACAAGCGCCTGCAGGGTACGGTATTTTTAATTTGTAAAGTATAACTTAAGTTTAGCGACCCTTTAAAAGCGCAAAAAAGTGGTTTCCGAGAGTTTTTCAAGGGACATGCAAGGCGTGAGTATGGATTTAGCCAGAGACTACGGCTTTTGACGGAACCGCGACACTCAACATGCCTGGCAGTGTTTTCATTGCGTAATCGATTACGGCGCCTAAAAATCGATATGCTGCACGTACGCGTTGCGTCTCGCGGGCTTGGCAAACATATTTCTAGAGGAAGGGCAAGGCATGGCTATAGCATCTGTACGAATTTGCTGCACCGCGATACGCAACGCGCGCCTCATTTGTGCGCTATTAAAACGACCTAATCGATTTGGCAGGGAAAACTTAGGGAATTGCGTCTCCCGCAACGGCCGAATCCATCGAAATCCATGCCTTATCAGTCCCTTTACACCCTTCAAATCTCAAATATACGCCCCAAAATACCGTACCCTTCCGGCCAGCAGCAGCAGCCGGGTTACCCGTTGTTAAGCGCATAGCGCAGCCCGTACGCACAAATCGCGGAGGGTTAGACACCATAGTCCCAAAAAAGAGAGAAAAACCAAGGAAAAATTGTTGCCAAACGCGGAAACAGGCGCTACGAGGTGGATGCGAGATACGGTAGAAATGGTGCGGTTTAGGAAGCGGGTGGATTGAGAGGAGAGACGAGGCGCATGCGCAGGCATTCAATTTCATACTTTATGGATTTTTTGAACGGAGAATTTAACGGATCGGATCCGTTTGGAGACCGGTCCGAATCCGGTTTAATCCGGTTAAAATTCGGCTAGCGAAACCAATCGGAATCTGATCCAAATACCGTCGAAATCGGCTAGAAACCGGTCGAATTCCGGCAGAATTCCGGTTAGAATCCGCCCGGAATCGAGCCAAAAATTCGCCCAAAAAATTCAGGGAACACGATGCGCTACGCTAATGATAAAAACCTGAAGAAAATCTAGCGAAAGTGGATGTTTTTGGCAGCGATTTTTTTGTTTTTAAAGGGCCATGGAAGACTAAAGTCATCAACAACAGCTACAGTCGGTTAACGAAAATTTTTCAAAATTAATTTTGTTGTTTTTAGTGCTTCCGCAACGCGACAGTACCTAAAAATCATTAATTTAATTTTCCGAGACTTTCCGGACCTTTTCAACGCCAAAATAATTCTAAAAAATTCACAGGCTCGAGCGATTCATTGTATCCATTCAAAATTCTAAAAAAATAAATTTTGCGAATTTTTCGAATTCGTAAAACCGAACAAAAATTGCCAAATAACCTACAGTAATCTCAAAAATCGCTGTCAAAACCCCCGCCCATATTAGTACAGTAGAAGCCGAAAAAAAGTAGAAGCGGGAAAACCGGGCCCCCGGCAGCATTCCGGATTGAAATGGTGGGTGGGGGTGGCCGGCTAGGGTGCACTACAGATACCGTAGTCCTCGGAAGGCGAGGAGAAGAGGGGAGAAGGTTCTCTCTTACCTTTAGCACCTGAAAACACGCACACGTGTGCCAAGAACAAATAAATAAATTGTTCGATAAATAAATTCCAAAATCAAGAGGCATTTTGCTGTGTGTACAGAAGAATTGGGTGTAGTGTGTAGTGTAGTGTAGTGTAGTTTTCAAGTGATAATACCGTAGTGAGAGGTGATATTTCGGGTTTAAAGTACCGTACCTACCGTATTTCTGGTAGTCTCTTAATTTTTATGACGAGAAATTCAGGGTATATCGTAATTACGCTATTTTCAATCACGGTTTTTCAAGCGATAAAATTCGATTTTCGAGTTAATCGATTAAATTAAGCCTCAACAATGTTTTGGGAAATATGGTATTAATTGAGATGTTGTATTCTTTTTCTTCAATTTTTTTCTGAAAATATCGAAAAACCGCTTCGTTGCGTGCTTGCGTGCTTTTACATTATCGGGGGGATTTGTGAAAAAATTAAAAAATACATAATACCTTAATAGCAAGTATCGCAATATTGATTTTAGTAACATTTAACTAGATTTTAAGTGGAAAACCCTTATAAAAACTTTAACTTTTAAAAATTCGAAATTTTCGTCGAAGATCGATATTTTTGTTTTTTTCATAAAAAGTTGTAAATTTTTCATGCGTGAAAATATATTTATATTAGCAGAGATAGATATACGAAAAAGTCCCCCGGATAATGCAAAAGCTCCGAAAACCCAAAAATACGGTAGGCATCCAAATTTTCTATTTGTCATTTTTTAATTTCCGTTTCAGTCCTAAAAACAACGCCAAGAATGCGTAGAGGTAGAAGTGGTTGCTGGCTGTAAAATAGGCAAAGAGAGAGGGCGCGCAAAGAGTTGAGGAGTGTACTGTAGTATAGCGTAATTTTAGTGTATCGTCTCGTACTACAGTGACTACTACTGTAAGGTGTAATGTGGCGTACCAGCTCGGAGACGAGGGGTACGGTCGTCTTCATTCGGGCTACATTCATATTCGGCATCGCATCGATGCTACGGTAGAAGGCATTGGCCGCCGCCCCGGTCTCCGTGTCCAGGATTGATGTCTGAAATTGGGGAATTAAATTTGTTTTTGTTTTACGTTTATTTTTGCCTATATATATTTGAAATTTACATATTTTTCCTGTTTATTTTAAAGATAAAATTAAAGGAACTTTTATAGAGTATTTCGAATTCGAACGCCACGCCATTAAAAAAACCGAATTTTCGCGATCTAATTAGCTTCTTGAATTTTTAAATATTTTGATATTTAAAAATAAAACATGGTAAATCTGCTTTTTTTAAAATATTCTTAATCTTTTTAAAAACAGAAATGCCGAAATTTGCTTTTTTGATTTTTTTTATCATTAAACTTATATAATAGTATTTAACAAGTATACTATCTTTTTTTGAGCTCGAGATCACCTTAACCCGACGGGCATACAGTACAAAGCAGTACGATACACACCAAACGACACGAACACGTCGCCGCTACCTGTCCGTTAATGGCATATCCGAGAAGTAGACGTGCCTGTTCCCTCCTCTGTGCGAATACGGTAGAAAGGGACACCTTTGAGTGTTCGCTTTGGGTCCCATTTTGAGTGCCATTTCCGAGTCTTAGCGGATGGTCAACTACTGGCGGAGGGACGGGGCGGATACGTTCGCCGGGGTGACGCTTCGGTCGATCTTCCTCCCTGCATTAATGGTAGGGGTACGGTGGATAGGGTGTGGTTTAGGGACGGGGGAACAGGTCCCAAAAGTTTTATCCATTTTAACAAAATTTGGCTCCAAATTGATATGTCATGTAATGTATTAAAATACGAGTTTTTCAAGGGCTTTCCAACACAATAAAAATCATAAAAATCCGATGTTTCTAGGGGAGTTATGAGCCTTTAAAGTTATTCGGGTACTGCATCCCGGGGTCAATTTTTAGTATTTACCTGAGCGACAGACTCCTCTGTCTTCCCCCTCCACCCTCATCCCTCTGTCTCTGTCGACAAGAGGGAAGGGCTATCGGTTCAGATCTTGTTCTCTTCCGCTTATCCTTTCCTCGTTCCTTCCTTCTTCGTCTTCTTCTCTGTGCCACTGATCGAGACCGCTGCACCTTTAGAACGGAGGTATTGATGCACTAACGGGGGGGGAGCGAACCTTTTTGAAGGATTTGCCGAAGGCGAGGAGAGCCCTCGCCCGGTCGTCTCGACTCATCCAACGCTCATTCCAATATTGAAATGGGAGACGGGAGAGACGGCTAGAGAGCACGAGAGATTTTCAGAGGGTGAGAGAAATAAAGAACAAGAGGACAAAGCATCACATTAAATTACAGTAATCATCAGAACGACCATCTTAAGAACACTTTGAGCTCAAATTGAGGATTTTCAGGAACGATTGAAGGCGAAATCCCAGAATCCCGACAGCTAAGATTCCTACATCCAAAATGCCGACATCCAACTGCCGAAAGCCATGATCTGGACAGCTAAAATACCTACAGTTCAAAAGCCCGATTTTGGTGTAAGCCACGAACTACGCAATTTGAACATAGACAATTTTAATAGGACCGCTGAAGGCACAGAACTCCTAGTATTAATTATATTATAGCACTAATTATAGCCAATTTCAATGGGCCGAAAAGCAAAGAAATCTCATCCTGGACTGTTTTAAAGGACCGTTGAAGGCAGAGAAATCCCGACAGTCAAAATATCGACAACTTTAAAGGGGCGGAGAAGTCAAGATGTTGTTGCAACGTACAGAGGATAGCTGCGGAAATTCGGCGCGGTCCGTTGGCCGCAATTAGAATGCGTGTGGACTGGGGGAATGGGGAGCAACAACTCCATTTCGGGAATCGAATTAAGGGAGCATGGGGTTGGTCGAATGGACGGACAAACATACGGATATATCGGTGAACAAACAGACGGAGACTTTTGGGATCGCTTGACATATCGCGATTTAAAGACTAGCTCTCAGCGAAACTGAGAAACCGAAAAAAGGCGTCTGGGCAAGCTAGCAGAGGCTATTTGCACAAGCCCAAAAATGCCAATCGATCGCGAAAATCCAGAAATGTGACCACATTTTTCTGCTTCGAGGCGAGGCACGCAAAATTTGAAGCGGCGCTCCGGGTGGCCGGCCCCGAGGGAAAACAAATCTATTTGCCCCAAAATGCTACGTAGCCATCGGCAAATGGGGGAAGAGTTTTTGATTAACATGGGCTGGAGATTTCGGGATTCCAAAAGAATCTTTGCTAGTTTGCCCGAACCTAGGGTTTGGGGTCTCAAAAGACTGGAGGTCAGAAAAAAATGCAAATTTTATAGGAACTATCAAGCTCGTAGATTTTAGGTGAATTTTCGGTTCGTTAAAATCGGTTATAAAGAGCCGTTGCAGGCGAAATCTACTCGATTGCTATGGATTCTATACAAAATGTGCAAAAGTCAAAACGAATTTCATAAATTACATTACACTCGTTATTCACGAGCGTCTTGGGGACCTAATTAAAGAGATAGCGACGGACCAAAGCCGAGGCAAATGTTATAGATTTAGCCTTCCTAGTTCCTTTAAAAGCTGTACTATACAAATTTCAATAAATTATAACTGTGGGCCCACAACGAGCGGACGAATTTGGTCTTAAAATGGATAAAAAAATGGTTAAAAAGTGAAAACTCATTAGCCGTTGGTGGAGATGAACTGGAGAGAGAGAGAGAGAGAGAGAGAGAGAGAGAGAGAGATGGAGTGAGTGAGTAAGAGACATGCTGAAAAATTGATAGATAAATGGGGCCCAGTGGCGACTAAAGGGATCTCTCTCCCTCTCTCCCTCCTTCCGAAATATGAGCCTCACCCCCTAAAAGGTTTTTCCCGGTAATTCTAGAGGAGCATTTCGGAATGGGGGGGTTGGGGGGAAAGGGTAATGGGACCCAATTGAGAGAATTGAGAGAATTCGGCCCTTCTATCCCATCGGGCTAGTGTGGCTAAACGTTTGTTGCTTGTGCTTGGCAACCTGCCAATGGCAGAATAGGGTGTCGAGGGATAGAGGAAAAGTTTGCAGGGTTTTTAGGTTTGACGGATTTCCAAAAAAGCTCCTCTTGCTCAAATTAGGCATTCGACATGGAAATCTGCTCGCTCGCCTCGCTTCGATCCGGATTCCCCCAAAATCTCTGCCAGCTTGCCTAACTTCCATGACGCTTTAAAGGGGCCTCATTCCCTAAGAAACTCTGCTAGCCCGGCAAGTTTTGAACTAGCATTCTACGAAAATCTCTGCTGACTCGACTTCTTCTTCGTTATTCTTCGTTTTAAAGATGCTTTAAAGTTGGAAACCTCTAAGGTTTTCTGCTAGTTTGTCCAGTTTGTATTTCGAATTCCGCAAACATCTCTGCCAGGTTGCCTATCGCGAATTCGTTTTTTTAAAGAGGTTACGAAGCTTTGGAATCGTGTAAGGCTCTCCGCTAGCTTGCATGAGTCAAATTACATCGTTGACAGGACTTGGAAAATCATAGGATTCCTGAATCGCCTCTGCTAGTCTGCCTGACTCGATTTTTCGCGCTTTACGGGGCTGGGAAGCTGGAAAAAGCTGCTAGCCTGCTCTTCTCGAAATTAACGGCAGATCCGTCAAAAATGTCAAAAAATTCGAAAACCCCAGGCGAACACCTAGCCAACCCCCGGGGTCATTTCTGAGTCCCCCAGAACCCCCAAAAAATGGCCCAAAAAATTGAAATGGCACCCCGGGGGTTAGAAGTGAGAGGCAGAAGAAGAAGTGGAAAACTGAATGGGTAGAGCAGAAGAGGGGAGGGCCATTAGGTATTCGAGAAGAGAAGAGAGAGGAGAACGAAGGGAAGGGTAAAGAGGAGTGACTCGGAAAATAACCCCTGTGTCACGGGAGGGTGAGGCTGAAGCTAGCTGGAGTGACATGGGTAGCGACACAACAGAACGCATACTCACTTACAACCCAGGGGAACGGGCCGGTTAGCAGAGAAAATTTGAGGAAACGAGCAGGCTAGCACCGAAAAATTTCGTGAAATGGCAAGCTAGCAGAGAAAATTTAGGAAGTTAAATAAGCAGGGTTTTAAAGGGAAGATGACAATCCGTGTCCATGCTAGGGCAATCTAGCAGAGAACCTTTGAATCCAAAAAATACACATTTTTGACGAGCCGAATGGTCCAGGCAAACTAGCAGAAATCATTTGGGAAACGGCGCCAGACATAGCTGATCTTTAAAGGCACTATGACACCTAAGGGCAAACTAGCAGAAAATCGATAACTAGATGAATCATAGAGCTTTTAAAGGGGCGGTGGCCGTTAACATTAGCCATGGATGCTATGGTTTAGGCAAGCCAGCAGAAATCCTTGAGGAAATCGGCAAAGGCGTCTAAAGGGACGGTGACAGCTAGAGTCGGGCCTCTATTCTGAACTGGGACCAGCTATCAAGCGCTAAGAGCCGTTTTAAAGGCCCAGTGACAGCTGGAATTCGGGGTTTCGGGCCGAACTGGGGCAAGCTAGCAGAAATGATTTGGGGAATTTAGAAAAAAATGTTGAAAGTTATCTTGACACTTGACACATGGGTGTCGCGGCTGGCGCTGGGGGCTAGCTATAAAAGATCATCGAGAAATTCTGATGTACTTTTAAAGGGACGGTGACAGCCACAACAAGGGGCAATCTTGCAATGTTTCTTGGAGAAATAACTTTTAGCGTATTAATACTCAGAAAACGTTCTCTAGAACCCTAAAGAGCTGCAAAAAAGGAGAAATCCCTGGGGGTCCCGGGTCGGGGTGGGGGGGGGGTGTGGTGAATCTAATTTTTCGGGGCTGGGTGAAGCTTGGGGGGCTTGGGGGTGTGTGGCTGGGGGCACTTGCCTCGGGTGGAATGTCAGTTCCTTCTCTTCTATCTCTTCTTCTCGTGCCCACGATGCGTTTTGCCATCCCCATCCACAAACCATGAATAATTGATGGAAATGTGTCCGAGACTCAAAAAAGGAATCGCTCACCCCACGAGGAAAAGATATAGATTTCGCGGTTTTTCAGCCTCCTGAGGTTAGGGTTTTTAGGGATTGAAATCTATGAATCTTGGCGCTTAAAGTATCTTTTTAG